ATGACAGCTTACTCATCTCAGCACTGGCCTCCCGGTAAATGGTTCGTGTGAAAACATTTCAAGTATGGCTACTTGCTGTCTACCGTTTTTACTTCCGTTTTATTTGCTCACAAAAATCTCTCTCAGTTGGAATTAGTTTTGTTCCTTATAACCTGATCTTTCTTCCGGATTATTTTTTCTTATTTAACAGGCAAAGAACCCATCATTATGAAATTGGATCGGTTACACGCGATCATCACATCGAAAAAATATCTGGATCAACGTAATCAACAATTTGAAGCCGACTATGAAGATTTTAAAGCACGAATAGCCGAACTTCATGTGAGTTTGTTCTGCTTCACCCCGGGTCTATTTATTATACAAACCTATGGACATAATCAAATCCAGAAATAACAAGCTGTAGTTCGCGATCTGTAAGAAGACTATGTCGGCAGCAGTGTAGAATTTTATGAAATCGCTTGACCGCAAACACAACAGTTAGAGCCTCCTTTTTATTTTGATATAGCTATGTTCTACCTTTGTTTACCCTCTGGCGGCATGTTTAATAAATAGCCTTTTCCGAAACGTCTGAGAAAATACACCATACGACTTCGCCGATCCCAAAGCAACAACGATCACAATTCAGGCTTGAATTCCGGTTAGAAAACAATAGGGGCTCATACTTCCAAATGCATTCCGGTATTCCCCAGAACGGATCCAATGGTGATTGTGGACCAAAAGATCATTTAACAGTCTACGTACCTGATACTATTCAGGCACAAAAGCTCTGCGGTAAATTACTAGTCCCATGCGTGATCTAAGCTTCAACATATGGTCAGATAAAGGCATTTGTTTGTTTGCATTGATGCTTGAATTACCTGATCGTCGTCCATGCTTATCGATGATGAAGCTGAGATACTTCGCCAATTCTATGCAGGAGTTGTTCTCAATATCTCTGATGATTGTCACTGCTACGAGTGATTATGTCCTCTGCTCTTATAAATAAATCTTTCCTAGTGGATCTATTGGTAATCATATGGCCCAGTTAAGTTGCAACTCCACGCAATCCGAATAGCATGCTTCCCTTCATTTCCTGAAATTTGCTGGGGCTAATTTAACACCAAATACTAAAGGACTGAACTGCTAAAGGTCACATTGCGTGTGACTTTTTAACAGTTCTCTTTGTTTGAGATAGGCGTCTGAAAGATCGATCTTTGTGAAGTAAACGCCACCAATGAGCCTGTTAAATAGGTTTGAAATTGACAATGGTTATTGGTGCATATTCAAAGCTGTATTTAGCTCTAACGTGAATCCTTCTGTTGAATATTTTAACGACAGTAATGGGTTCTGTCCATTCCGATTAGTTTACACGTTGGGTCACCCTTTTGTTTTTCCAAGCGATTCCATCCGATCTCACCCATTATAAGTGCAGCGTCAGATATTTGTGTAAGCTTGGAAAACGGGCTTTGCTCCGTCGACCGAAACCAGATTTACTGTTGTTTCGATGTATTTACCCATTTGCCCAGTCAGGAAGACAAACATCTGCGAACAACAAACAGGATTGCGACCAGGTCGCGGTTGTATCGATCACATGTTCACTCTGTGTCAAGTCCTCGAAGTACGCCATACACACTGTTGACTAACGGTTGTCGTGTCCCTTGACCTGAAAGCAGCCTTCGACTCAGTTGACCGCGAGTCCACCATGGATTCGCTCCTTGGAAAAGGAATTCCGCAGAAGTATGTGAAAATACTAATTAAAATACTCGCATACTTCTGATAGCGTAAGGATCTACGGCGAGTTGAGTAGGTCGTTCGTAACTAGCAGCGGTGTTCATCAAGGATACCCTCTTTCACCATTTCTTTTCAAATTTGTCCTAGACGAAATACTGAAGAACACACTAAGTGGTCTCCAAAATATTGGTATTGAATGAGCAGCTGGAGGAATGCTGTGCGACCCATTGTACGCTGACGACATCGATTGCCTGTTCGAATCTATGGAGAATGCAAAAAGAGTACTTGAGAGATTAACAAGTTCTGGCGCTCCGTTCGGCATGCGCTTTGCACATTTAAAGTGCAAAATGACGCTGCAAGACTGGGTGTCGCCCAGTTCTGTTCTGAAACTTGACGTTCAGGAAGTAGCTGAATTTGACTGCTTCTTGTACTTGGGTAATTGCGTGATCAATGACGGTAGCGAATGAATGGAAATAACCGCCCGTATTTCCAAGGCTCGAGCAACGTATGCAGGAATTAAACACCTGTGACAGAGGTGTGACGTTTCACTGAAGTTGAAAAGTCGCGCATACTACGCCACTGCACAATCAGTTTTACTGTATGGTTGTGAGACCTTGAGTTTGTGGGTAGAGGACATCCGTCGTTCAGCAGTTTTCGACAACCGATGCTTACGTAGTCTAGCCCAGGGGGAATGGAGTGAGCGGGATGGTAACGTAGAAGCAAGTCGTTGGGTATTTGGGAATGCATCGACAAGAATTTGCTATCACATTGAATCCAACTCCATGGGCTCCGTTGGTTAGGACACGTTTTGTATATGTCCAACGGTTGCCTACCGCACGCGCCTTATTCGCAGTGGCTGTTGTAGGCTGGAGAAAGCCAAGTGGAGACCAGTAGATGACGTGGAGACGAGGCATAAAGAAATACACAGAGCGACTAGGTAAAGTAGGCGTCTTTCTTTTTCCGGTTTGGGGTCCAAAAGACTCCTTAACTGCATGATTGGAGACACTGAAGGTCATGGCTGCGAACCGACAGCGATGGCGATCATGCTGTCATGCTGTCTTATCAGACCAGAATGCTTGAAATAGTATGTATACACATCTGGAATGTTCACTCCGTGTGTTGACCATAAAGGTTCAATTTCTTTTACCGTCCCTAAGAATAGGTCCAATCCCTGTTTTCCGTACACATTCTCATTCACTTTGTATGCATTATGAGTTTGGCAGAGATCAGTGAAGTTCGCTTTACTGTATTACGCTGTACAAAGAGGATGATTTACCCATATCTGTTCGGAAAATTTTATTTCTACCTGCATTAATCACTTCCTCTCTACATCTGCCAGTAAGGCTGGGCCTTCTATTGGAAGATTATTACAAATCTGACTCAACGGGGTATTCAAACATGGATCTTCTAATCCTTATCAAGTATGTTCAAGTTTGGCCGAGTTTTGATACATCCAGCTGGAAAAACATGAACAGGTCAAATAAGAATTTCACAAAGAAAATCACCAATAAGTCCTAATTGAGCTCCCGACGAGTCAAATGTGACGTTGGTTGGTGGTTAGATCAATAGTGCTCCAATAGTTCTCCAGGTTTGCAACAAAATTATTGCAATGTCATATGTACCGTCTAAGTGTCCGTTTATGGACATTTCAGCTTACATTGTGCGAGCTAAGAAGTTGCTAGAACGTTGAATCTACATCTCAATTGCCAGGTCTTCCATTGAACATTTTTTCTTGCGTGGCTGCGTGTGCTGCAGTCCTTCGCACCCGGAACTGAAAATCAGGAGATTTACTTTACTTATTTTTTTATATTAAAACTTAAACTTTCTTTTTATAGTATCAAGCTTGGATTAGCCCATTCGAGTTATCAGAGGCACCGGGCACTCTCTATGGTATTTTTACTTCCTTTTTTGGTGTATTCCTTCATACCTCATCTAAAGGTTGTCTGTTGACCTCCACGTGATGCTCTCCAGCGGTAACTGCAAACAAAGCACGGTGCGGTAGACGTGTGTTAGGTATGTCAAAGTCACAGTCAAAGTTTTATTATGGGCGTTTTTACAAAGCTAAAGTTTATCATGCTCCATAGGATTTTTACAGAATGTTTTGAATAACTTCACAAAGAGAAAATAACAATGATAATAATGTGTGTGATCGCTCACGGATGTTGAAATTTTAAGTGTTCCAATGCTTTATCAAGTTGCGATTCAAATAGTTCAACTGCAGGAGCACACACTACATCATATGCGAGAAGAATTCCATATGCCGCACACTCTGACTGCAAACGAGTGATACCGGCAATCAAGGTGGCTGTTCTGGGTCTTCAACTTTAGTGGATGTTCCCTGAGCTGATCATTTTGAGATAAAGTCAGCAGAGAACGGCAAGGGTAGTTGGGTTGATGCGGTATGTGATATGCCAATATTAGGTCACCTGGAAGTCGGCGGTATTGGAATGAGTAGAGTCCCAATATTTGCCGTCTTTCGGAGTACGTCTTGTTATAAAGACCTTTTATCAATTTCGTTGCCAGCCTCTGCGGACGTTCTAGAGTCTTCCTGTCGAGGTTTAACTATGGATTCCACACTTGACCGGCGTACTCCGTGTGTGGCCGAACGAACGCTGATAACAAGCGTGGAAACAGTGCTCTTTCGAAATGCCCGAAAACACGTCTGAGAAGTCCCACCTGCTTTAGAGCCATAGATGATGCTCTGGCACAGTGCGTGGAACATTCTGCGTCATCCTGTACCATAACTCCAAATTCCTTTTATCAGCGGCATGCGGTAGTATTTGGTTCCCCAGAACGTAGAAGAAACGAGTCTTATGCCGCATGGAGATGACTCTGCATTTGGAAACGTTGAACTCGATGTCGTTGGCGATTGACCATCGAAGGGCTGCATCGATCGTTTGCTGGAGTGCTATATGGTCCTCAAGATGTGTTACAGTTCTCCAGATCTTAGCGTCATCTGCAAATAGAAGCGTATTAGGCCGAAAGCAGTGTATTAGGCACGACACATGTCTGAATCAGCGAAGCCCATTAATCTCTATTCGTCANTTGACATTGACCTACGCAAGAATACGCGGTAGCTCAACCCGGAGTAACTTATCTCGATACGGATGTACCAGTCCCTCTGTGCGCTCGCATTCACAAAGGCAACGCTTAAGCGGTCTCGCTCTTCAGCCATCTCCCCAATTGCATACTTGCATGAGCTCAGTGGATTTAAAGTATGTGACCCAGTCACCGTGATGTACCGATGGTTTACCGAAATGTTGCAAGTTGCAACAGTAATGAGGTTGTTAAATTAAACATTACTG